CTGTGAATTAGATTAGAAGCTCTGCCCTTCAAGGCTTAACCGGTTTTGCTGGTGAAATCTTGTTTTCTCAACCCATTTTTTTTTTTAAAAAAAAAGTTGAGTTGCCTCGAGAGAAAAAAGGGGTTGCATTCATTTCCTCTTGGGAGAACGAAGGCACACTAATGAAAGTTTTGTTTTAGGAGTTTGGTGAAGCTGCCTTTTCCTAGTAAGTGACGGTTTATCACGTTCATAACTCTTGTCCTCAAGGGACTCGATTCTGATAGAAGTACTGGAACTCCTCATACAGGAAACATATTTCCCCCCCAAATAAGACCAGATTTTATATGAATGTTTGCTCCAAAAGAAGCATTAGGGCTTATTTTCCGTCTAGGTCTTCTTTTCAGGGAAATACGGTACTATGCATCTGTCTGGTTGTCACCTGGGACTTATTTTGGGGGAAGGGCTTATATTTCGAGCATCCTGAAAAATCATACTAGGGCTTATTTTCCAGTTAGATCTCCTTTTGGGGGAAATACAGTAGTCCTCGGCTTAGTAACTGTTCAAAAGTAGAGCAGCATTAAGAAAAAAAACCCCATACCACCAGTCCTTAGACTTATGGCTGTTGCAGCCAGTGTCCCTAGGGTCAAGGGATAGCCGTTTGCGACCATCCTGGCCAGCTTGCCAACATGCAAAACCGATGGGGGAGGGGAAGCAGGATTCGCTTAACAGCTGCATGGTTTGCTTAACAACCTTGGCACAAAGGGTTTTAAAATTGGGCAGGGGTCGCCTAAGAACCACCTAGTAGTATACAAAGAGAAATTCTGGCCCCAATTATTACCCTGCGTCAAAGATTACCTGTACTTTGTGATGGTTCTGCACACTAATTTGTGACTAATAGCTTTGTCCAGTGTAACGTTTCCCAGTTGTTAAAGGAATTCTAGTTACAAATGTCAGGCTTTCTGTTTGCCTCATCTTTAGAACAAGTAACTACGTAGAACATCTACTCCTGTTACTTGAAAAAAAAAGAAGACTTGGAAGACCTTGGAGAGCCACGTTTTTTGCCTGCTGTGTCATTCCCTTCTCTTGGATGCAGTCCCTGTTCAATTTTTAATGTTGCGCTGTACCAGGATATGGTACTTTAATTGTATGCGGATTGTCAGCAGTTTTTATGCATAACATTAGACGAGGAGCTCTCTGAGCTTGGTTGTTTCCTTGCAGACGTTTCATTACCTCAACTAGGTAATACCAGTACAGCACTAGCACTGATTATGTTACCTAGTTAGGGTAATGAGACGTCTGCAAGAAAACAAGCAAGCTCAGAGAGCATCAAGGACCCGTCATGTCAACCCTGAGCTACAAATATTCTCCTTTATTCGTACATCATTAGATATAGTCTGCTCTTGGTTTTCTCTTTTTTTTTTTCGTTTGCAACTTTTTCTGTTCTAGACCGATTTGTTTTTTATTGTAACCAGGCATGCTGTCTTAACTGCTCTTTAGCTTTTTTTTTTCTTTAGCTTTCTAGCATACAAATAAACATTTTGTGATCAACCAAATTCTCAGGTATGCTTTTATTGATCCTAGACTAAATAACCTACCATTCGCAGATGAGAGCTTAAATTAAAACATTACACTATTGTTAGTCTATGAATAGTAGGTGGTTTTTATGGCTGTCCACATGGACAACAGAACATGGAGTATGCATGTCAATTCACGTGCCTAGCAGGTCAGTTCCAGTGGGTTTGATGGTGGACTTCATAGCTTTACAAGTTGCAGGTGTTTTATGGCCATATTTTAAATAGGAATCCACCTTCATTGTTTACAGTTTAGCACTGAAGTGATCAATAGCATTCTAGAATGTTTGTTTTTTTTTTACAACTGTAAGATAAGAGGAGTTATTTTCATATATTTGTTATATTGAAGATAATGTACATATTCATATTTGGAAAAGCGATCAGATGGATGTTAAATTTAATAAATTTAGTTCGGTGGGTTTGGCCTAGGCATTACATTGAATAGTAGAATTAACTATTGGGAGTGGGTTTATGAATGAGGAACTGGATGTAATAGTTGTTTTACAACTAAAATTAATGTACAGAATCTGAAATAAAGTCCCATCATAAGTTTTTGCTGCTAATTTGGAAATTTATCTTCATAACTGGGCTTATTTTAAGTTTAAAATGATAGAGAAACAGCTCTCAATGTTTGGAGATATGGGGGGTGGTTAGTCCTACTGTGGGTAGGACATACTGGAAATTTGTTAACTTTGGACTTAAAGGAAAATGGAATTCTAAATTCAGCAGAAGTCCTTGTGCCACTGGCATGTGCCAATGTTTCTCAACCGTGGCAACTTGAAGATGGCTGGGGAATTCTGGGAGTTGAAGTCCACCCATCTTCAAGCTGCCATGATTGAGAAACACTGTTTTAATCAACAGTGTAATCTCAGAGTATGGTTTTTACATTACTATTCCAGCGATTTGTCATTTTACTCTCTTCTGTTGTTACCTGTAGAAACAATATTTTCACTTTTCTTTTCTTCTCCTTTTAATGCTTTCTCTTTCTTCTACTTTTAATGCCTTCCTAGGAACCAGAAAGTAAGTATTTGCCGACAACACCAAACATTTCTTGACCGGTTTACACTAGAAGTCGTTCCCCCACCACCACGCGAATCTCTTTTGAGTTCTATCATTTTGAGATCTCTTACCTCTTTTTATACTTCTCTCTTTCCTTCTGATGTAACAGAGTGGTAGGACGAGAAAAATGACATTTCGGTCAGAGAAGCTGTAGTTCTGTAACACGGCTGTTTAGAAGCCTTCAGGTCTTCGATATCAGCAAAACTGGTAGTTTCTGTATGCCACAATGTTGACATAACACACAATAATACAAAGGTTTTCTAGCACATCATATGTGGGTTCACCCACGTTGTTTAAAAAGCTGTCACTTTGTTCTCGGGATGGCTTTTTTTCACATGACGAACTAAGCCACACCAAGCAAGCCACATTATGGGTTAGCGTTATCTTCGGTATTTATCCTTCCCATTCCCAAAACACTGCGAATAGCCAGCAAAGCCATACAAAGAACATCCAATGATAAGTCAGACCATCAGGCTATAGAGGGAGGGATTCAGGCAGTCCCTGCTCCGTTGCAGGCCACCTTGAAAGATGCCAGCCACAGCTGCCCATAAAATGCCAGAAAAATGCATAATCTAAACCGGGGGTCTCCAACCTTGGCGACTTTACGACTTGTGGACTTCAACTCCCATACGCTGGCTGAGGAATTCTGGGAGTTGAAGTCCACAAGTCGTAAAGTTGCCAAGGTTGGAGACCCCTGGTCTAGACCAGGACCACTAAATTCTGTAGGCCAACCTAGGCCAGCCATGAAAGCCTTACCCCAGGATATATACTTCTCAATTTACGAACATTAGTGATTGCTCCAAGTTACAGCGACACTGAAAAAAGTTCACTCGTGACCATTTTTTCAAACTTCTGGTCACGTGATCAAAATTCAGCGGCTTGGCAACTGACTCGTATTTATGACTGTTGCAGTTGTCCTAGGATCATGTGATCATCTTTTGCGACCTGACAAGTAGAGTCAATGGGGAAGCCAGATTCACGTCACAACCATCTTACTAACTTAACACGGTTAAGCGATTCACTGAACAATTGGCCAGAAAAGTCATAAAAATGGGGTAAAACTCACTTAACTACCTTGGTTAACAACCAGAAATTATGCACTCAATTGTGATCGTAAATTGGGGAGTGCCTGTATATGGGCAAACTAAGTTTACTGCCTTCCGGGAACAAATGTAAAATAATTTGGTGGTTCTGTGAACTTGGTATGTTGTTGTGCTGCGAACATTTTGATATATTTAAAAGAATCCATAAACTCCTTTTTTTACTGCTGGCTGCTCTTACAAATTGATTTATAAAACACAGCACTTTTTTAAGTGGCTTGCTTTCCCTCCTAGAAATGTTTGAACCTGTTCTTCTAGTCCCTGAATCACTTTAGGATTTAGGGGAGGTGATATAGCCCAGGGGTCTTCCACCTTGGCAACTTTTAAGACTTTGCTGGCTTAATTTAACAAGGGCAGCTTTGCTGGCTGAGGAATTATGGGAATTGAAGTCCACAAGTCTTAAAGTTACCAAGGTTGGAGACCCCTGATATAGCCCACACCATTTTTTTCCCAAAAATCTGGCAAACAAATAAATTGCTTGGCTGATTGAGATGATTCTCAAGCCTGAGAAGAGAAAAAGATTGGCCAAGATAGTCCCCGTCTGAGATGGATGGTTGGTGCAAAAATGTGAATCATAAATAAAGGAAATTCTTACAGTAAAGGTACTGATATATAAATCAATCTAATTTTACCTGAGCAAGACACATTTCAAACTCCATATAATAATAATGAGCTTTATTTGACAAGGGCAGAGTTTGATTTTTGCGATAGAAAGATGTCGCTGTATTTTGTGCATTTTGTTCACGCAAAAGCCCTCTGGCTGTTAAAATAAAACTTCTCCCAAGTTATCTTTGTATAAATTGGACCTCCCTCCTGCAAATGTGCTTAAACTTACAAAACCTTTCAGGCCCTCCAGCCTCCCTTCTTCAATCTTTCGATAACACCCTTGTCTCTTCTTTTTCCTAATCCTTGGGCTGGTATTTTATTCTTTGATCCGCTTTAGATCTAAGACAGATGGTATCCAAAATTGCCCAAGGGAATTCTTATGCCAGGAGCACAGTTAAAATGTTCCTTGTATGGCTTTGTATGTAAAAAACAACATCACTGCAATACTGGATTATAAACGTGTTAAAAGTAGAAAGGCACAGTAGAAAAATATATATATACTAGAATTGTGACAATCATATAATTTACACTAGGCTAAAGCTACTATTACAAGCCCTTAGTTTGTCTCCCCCGAGGTGGCATTGTGATGTCAAAGGCATTTAGTGCCTGTCACAATTCCTTAGAAGTTCACCTAATGCTTTATTCCGGGACTTGGCTCATAACAGCTTACAGCTTTTTAACATCTTACGACAAATTTGTGATGGATGCACTGAAGGTTAGACAAATAACTTTTTTCAAATTTGTAGTAGAGTGCTCCATTTCAAGTCTCCAACAGTAAGTAGGGAAAACGTTATTAACATGCCTGAGATGACATGTACATTTTAAACAACAAACAGCACTTCGAGGAATGCCCTGACTTTTGTTCAGGTTAATACCAAGTAATTTTCATCTCCACGTGGGCCACGTGTTTGTTTCCACAGCGTGGCGCCAAAATTGTCAATCATGTATATATTTAAAACTGGCAAAGGTTCAGAAATTCTTCCTTGGTAGCACATAATTTGGGTATCCTACCTCAGCAGGACCTTTTGGGGAGCGTAGAGTAATTTTGCCAACCAGGTTCTTAAAATGTCGTTTAACTAAGAAATCAGTTTTTCCCGCTGAGAGTTAACTTTTAATTCTGCTTTATTTGTGTGAAATATCCCCTTCTAGAAGAAACAGAACTGGCAAATTTATGGGACGTTTTGGGCCGTAAATTGCGGAGGACTCTCTCCCCTTCTTCACCAGGAGGGTTGGGACTGAATTTCTTTCAGTATAGGCGGTTCTCGTTTAGTGACTGCCTTGTATAGCAACCATTTGCAATTACGATGATGATTAAAAAAAAGTAAAGTTGCATTTATGACTTTCTAATAAGATCATAAGTACAGTTGTGGGTTCACTTAGCAAGTGCTTCCCTTAACCAAGTTGCCAGTCCCAATTTTGGTTGCTAAGCGAGGGCTACTTGTGCTGAATGTTAAGGGTGACAACAGAGACTTCTAGCCAAATCATACCAGTGTCCCTCAAAACACACACAAATAGACACACACACACACACACACGTACCTTTTAAAGCTCTTAATGACTTATGGAACACTCCTTCATGCTGTTTTCTTGCCAATCTTCCAGGATTTTTAAAAATAAGTCTAGCCTAATTCCCACATATTTTCCTGGTGGTCTCCCATCCAAATAGTTACCAGGCCCAATCCTGCTTAGCTTCCAGCCCCAGGCATGCGCTGCCACTTGCGGAGACCTTGCCAGTTCTTCATGGCCCAGACAGTATTGATCGGCCACTCCAGCCCCCCAAAAACCGCTAGCCATGCCAAGACCCTTGAATATGGGTTTCAACATGCTCCAGGGAAGTTCTGAGCTTCTCCAAGAAGTTGTTTCTCTGTCTCTTCTGGATGTTTAGGACTTGCGCCCCTTTCGGGACTGATGCGGGCAAATTGTGGGAATGTTAAAAGTCCGAACATCTGGCAGACACGAGTTGCCTACTTCTGCTGAAGCTGCTTGCTCAAGTACTCACAAGGAAGATGGGCGGTTTAAGAAATACGAAGCATAAAGAAATAAAAATATTGTTGGCATACTGGAGAACAACAAGGGGCAGAAGAGCTCTCTAAACAGTTTGCTTAAAGCACTTTTTTTTTAAAAAAAATGGCGCAATCATCCAACTTTGTATACAGGTAGTCCTCAACTTACGACCAGTTGTTTAAAGTTACAGTGGCACTGAAAAATGACTTGCAGTCGGCCCTTGACTAACCACCATTGCAGCATAACCACAATCACATGATCAAAATTAGTGTCCTGGCAACCAGCACATATTTACGACAGTTGAAGCATCCCTGGGGTCGTGGGATAGCTCTTGGCCACCTTCCCAGCCAGTTTTGACAAGCCAAGTCAGTGGGGGAAGCTGGATTCACTTAAAGAGCGCAAGATTCACTTAACAACTGCAGCGATTCACTTAACTGTCACAGCAAAACAGGGCGTAAAATGGACCATGACTCGTTTAAAAATAATGTTGCTTAGCCACAGAAATTTGGTCCCCAATTGTCATCGTAAGTCGAGGACTATGTATACAAGTAGTCCTCAACTTACAACAGGTTCATTTAGTGACCGTTCAAACTTACAACGGCACTAAAAATGTGACTTACGACCATTTGTCACACTTAGGACCACTGCAGCATCCCCCCCGTGGTCATGTAATCAAAATTCGGCCGCTTGGCAACTGACTCATGACGGTTGCAGTGTCCCGGGGGGGGGGTGTCACAGTGATCCCCTTTTGTGACCTTCTGACAAACAAAGCCCATGAGGAAGCCAGATTTATTTAACAGCCATGCAACTAACTTAACAACTCAGTGATTCAATTAACAACTGCGGCAAGAAAGGTCGTAAAATGGGGCAAGACTCCCTTAACTGTCTTGCTTAGCCACAGAAATGTTGGGCTTAATTGTGGTCATATGTTGAGGACTGCCTATAAATGGTGGCGCTCGGGGTCATTGCATAGCCTTTCCAAGCTTGCTCCTGTCAAACATCTGGCGCCACCGTTCTAGAGTTCCCAGCTGGCAGGGGACATGCGCCCAGGTTGGAAAATGCCGTGGCACTGCCCGCTGCTTGTGGTGTGTTATTTCAGCCACTGTACCTTTGTCCTTGTCTCTTCATGCTGGCATCCCGTTCGGAAGATGAGAACCAGGAAGCTGCTGTACCCCACCGAAAAGGTCTGGGTGGACAAGCCTAAGTACGACGAGGCCGAGAGGCTTCACTATGAACGAGAAGCAGCGTTAGCCGCCTCGGCGGCCGGGTCTTGCCAAGAGCTGGTGGCCGTGAATGGCTTCTGCCACGAGGAACGCGCCGAGGAAGTGTTGAAGGCAGAGCTGTGGCGGGTTGGCAGTGGGAAGAAGCAGAAGAAAAGGAAGTTATCGCCCAAAGCCAAGTCTTTAGGGCCCAAAATAGATCCCGTCTTGGCGGGTTTGTTGGCTGACCATGTCTGGTTTGACAAACCTCGGTTTGACCAAGCGGAATCTGCCTACCACGTGAAACTCGCCGACTCTTTGCCCCTGGTGGCGCTTCCCATCGTGGAGCCAGCTGCTGTGGTGCCTTGGTCTGAAGACGCCGTCCAGGCCGAGACCGAGCATGTTGGAAACCAGGCCGTCTTGCACTGCACTCACGGCAGCCTCATGGCGTGCCATCACGTCATTCAGGATGTGTGGGTCAACAAATTCCACTTCGACGCCGCCGAGAGAGCCTTTGTCGAAAGGTCCCAGCTTGTGACGCTCGCACACCTGCTGCAGCCCCCGTCCGTCCTGAAGCTGGCCAGCGCCGGGCCCGTCACCCCTGACGAAGGCTACGTGACGGCCCTGGCTACTCCTTCGACCCCGGCCCACGTTGCCGATGCCGAGCGTCAGGCCCCCACCGCTCCGCTCATCCCGGCCGGAGATGCAAACCAGACGGTCAACGGCAAGCCTCCGGGCTCCAGTTTGCGAGCCCTGCTGTCCGAAGTCTGGCTGGAGAAGCCGATCTATGATGACGCCGAGCGATTATTCTATGCCAACATGTTTGACGGCCACCCTCCAGGGAAGGTGAGGCTGCAGGAGCGCGGCCACGCAGACATCTCCAGAAAGAGCCGGAAAGAGAAGAAGGGCCGGAGCAGCCTACGGAAGCAGTCAACGGGAAAACGGGTAAACAACGCTGCAGTTGGGACTCTGACGCCCCAGGAAACGGCAACCGCCGCACCGCAACCTCCTGCCTGGCACTTTATGCACCCGGACACGGAATCTTTGTGGTTCAACAAGCCCACGTACGACAGTGCAGAAGCCTGCTTCTACGCCTCCCTTGCCCAAGAAGAAGCCAGCAGACTATCGGAAGCCGCGCGAGCTAAAGCCACCCAGCCCACTGCGCAGCCCTCCAGCACACCAGAGCCTGATGCTAAGTAGGAAAAGCATGCATTTGGGGGTGTTTGGCGGTGGCGGTGGGGGTGGATGTTCTCCGGCCCAACAGCATAGCTATAACAACTCAGACTCAGAGTGCAGAGGGCATGGGAGTTGTTGGTGTGCAACTGGCCACGGCCAGGGCTAAGATAGCACTAGCAGTTAGACTTATATACCACTTCAAAGTGCTTTGCAGCCCCCTCTAAGCAGTTTACAGAGCCAGCCTCTTGCCCCCAACAATCTGGGTCCTCATTTTACCCATCTCGGAAGGCCAAGTCAACCTTGAGATGGTCAGGATCGAAGGCCCGGCAGTTGGCAGCCTGCAATACTGCATTTAGATAGATGGATGGACGGATGAACTGACAGGAGAGGTAGATGGACAGACAGACAGACATAGAGAGAGATTGGATGTAGATAGATAGCACTAGCAGACTTATATACCGCTTCCAGGTGCTTTGCAGCCCTCTCTGAGCAGTTTACAGAGCCTCTTACCCCAAACAATCTGGGTCCTCATTTTACTGACCTTGGAGGGACAAAAGGTTGGGTCAATCTTGAGCCGGTCAGGATCGAACTGCCAAACTGCAGTTAGCCTCCAGTACTGTGTTCTGCGCCATCATGGCTCATGATGCTCCCTTTTGGCAAGGAGCATTATTGAAAAAAGGAAATTAACTCTACTGTTTTAGGAGAACCCAGAACTAAGGGGAGATTTCCTGACAGAACAATTAACCAGTGGAACATCTGGCCTCCAGAAGTTGCGTGTGCTCCCAGTACTGGAGGCTTTTAAGAAGAGACCGGACAAACATTTTGTCTGAAATGGTACAGGTTCTCCTGTTTGAGCAGAGGCTTGGACTAGAAGATCTCCAAGGTCCCTTCCAACTCTTTTATTCTGTATTCTGAGAAGGGATTCCGGTGTTCCAAATTTAAGGAAAGGGTTTGGAAAGAGGTTGTCCTTTGTCTCTGTTTCAGTCGACTTGACAGACACGTGTACCAAGGGAGTCCCCGTGAGCTAATATGAGATGAAAGAGTATTTCGTTCAGTGAATCTAGATTTTAAAAGCCCCCCCCCCCTTTCCCTTTAATGCTTATCTGCATGCAATGTGTTGGATGCCTGCTCTGCCTGGTCTCATTTGAGAAAAGATGTCAAATTTGTGATTCACCTGAGTCCTGCCCTTGGTGGTGGGATGGAACCACTTGCCGCAGCCAACTCTCCGTGGGATAACTCGTCATGGCCAACTCCCCACAGATTGTTGCTACAGGACAATTCAACAATTCAATTTAATTTAATGAATTGTAATTTTTGCCATTCTCATTTCATCCTGTCCCTCCTTCCTTGAATGATTCCATTCCACTCTTTCTTTGATATTCGTGTCGTTCTTGTCCCACTGCGAATTGGCCCTGGCGAGATGTCCTGTGACAAGTTATCGTGGTTCCCCCTTGGTGGCGACATTGGTAGAACCGAATCCAAACTGCTGCTTCGCAAGAGGGACACCAGTGTGCGGAGATGATTTGAAGGATAAAACACCCTGGATACTACTTGACTGAGTTTTAGGCAGGCCATGAGTGGCGTAAATCAGATTTTGGATGTCTCTTGAGATGAAGTACTTTTTGATGGCGTTCATGGTACTCGGTGCTGTACCCCATCTCCATTGTTGCTGAATTCCAACCCCACATCCAGCATTTATTACCTTGTGCATTTCTTTTTAAAAAGGTTTCTCTTCCAGAGGCAGATTCAAAGATTAGGAAGATTGAGATTCCTACTTAATCCCTGAACTACCAGGCAGCCAGATAAAAGTTTTCCCCAAAACAATTTGGCAACTGGCACTGTTGTAAAACAGTGGCTCTTGCTTCTTTGTGTGGTTTTGTTCAACCCCTTGAGGGCTCTATTAGTGGAGGCCTGTTCAGGGTGTACTGAGAAGGTTGGGGTACTGCTAAGCCCATTATTCTGTGCCGTTTTAAGGATCGGGTGCTGTTTGTAATACTGGTGTCTACGTATCTTCTGAGAAAGAATAGGCAAGGTCAGGGCACTGCTCCTTCTGTACCACTCTTTGAAACCAAAATTTGTAACTAGTAGTTAGTGATCAGTTTTCAGGTGTGAAATGATTCAAGTAATTGCTTGTTTGATTGCATTTTGGTCAGCTTTTTTGTATAGATCTGGGCTGGGGAATTCTGGGAGTGGAAGTCCATAAGTCTTAAAGACACCAAGGTTAGACACCCCAATCTAGAGTGATAGGTTAGTGAGTTCTTACCAGCTGCAGCCCTAAGGGATGGAGAGAGGAATGACTCGTGGTCATCCGGTGACGTGATCCTAAAAACCAGTGCTTTCAAATATTTATTTAACCTCGTCCTCCTCTCTGCAGAAAAATGGCAACCCACTTCCTCATGCACGAGAAGATCTGGTTCGATAAATTCAAATACGACGATGCTGAGAAACGGTACTACGAACAGATCAACGGTCCAGCCCGCAGCCCTTCCTGCCAGCAGGTAAGAAGATGCTAACATCTCCCGTGTCCAAGCCACAGGTGGCCTCTCATTTTATCTGGCCCAATACAAACGGTGCTTCTGCCTGTAATTGCGAATTCTCTACTAGTTCTCTCTGATCCATCCAAGCTTGTATTTTTCTCCTGCGTTGATGTCTCCACAAGGCCTTGTGTTCTGACCCAACTCTCCAAACACATCTCTGTCCCATCTCTGCTCAATTATCGGCATCGTAACTTGATTCATAGAAAGTATTTCTCCGGCCATTTTGAACTGTTGTTCCATTCTCAGTCACCCCTGGAATTGGGTAAGGTTTGAACTTCCCAATAATTTTGGGTCTTTGGCAAGGAAAGGGGGGAGGCCACCTTCAAGGAGACTCAAGCAAACAGTTGAGGGGGGGTGGCGCGATTCCCAAGTAACCCTTGGTATAACATGCAGGTAGTCCTCGACTTACAACCAGGCTTGAGTCCAAAATTCCCTTTGCTAAGCAAGATGGTTCTTAAGTGAGTTTTGACCCATTTTACGACCTTTGTTGTCACAAGATTGTTAAGTCAATCTGCCTCCCCCATGGAGTTTGCTTGCCAGAGGGTCGCAAAAGGGGATCACGTGACCACGGGACACTGCGACCGTCGTAAATATGAATCAGTTGCCAAGGGTCTGAATTTTGATCACGTGACCCTGGGTGGGGGAATGCTGCAATGGTCGTAAGAGCGAAAAATGGTCCTAAGTCATTTTTTTTCCCCCATTGCCATTGTAACTTTGGTTGCTAAAGGTGTATTTGTAAGTCAAGGATTACCTGTAACATGTCACATTCAGTTTGAACACTAAATATAGGTACTCCTCACCTTATGACCATCATCGAGCCCCAAATTTCTGTTGTTAAGTGAGACATTTGTTTTGCCCCCATTTTACAACCTTTCTTGCCACAGTTGTTAAGTGAATCACTGCAGTTGATCAGTTAGGGACCCGGTTGTTAAGTGAATCCGGCTTCTTCATCGACTTTGCTCGTCAGAAGGTCATAATAGGGGATCACGTGAGCCTAGCAACCGTCATAAGTACATGCCAGTGGCCAAGCGAATTTTAATCACATGACCCTGGGGATGCAGCGACACTTGTAAATGTGAAAAATGGTCATAACTCACCTTTTTCAGTGCCGTTCCAACTTTGAACAGTCACTAAATGAACTGTTTTAAGTAGAGGATGACCTGTACTTGTAGTAATCTGAGATCCTGACTCACAGGTATCCGAGTACCATAGCTAGCGGGAAACTTTTAATCCCTAAAATAGTTTTAACACCAACTCCTTCACTCTCCTCCCTTGTAGGGGAAATCCCTCCATTTTGCATTGTCTGTCACTGGGGCCATTCCCTCTTCTGGGACAAACCAGGGATCCTGGTTTGAAACTGGCTTATTAAAATAAGCCCAGGAGTGGGATTCAGCCAGTTCGGGAAAATCGGTAGTTGTGACCTGCGGGTGGGCCCATCCACCTGCACTGGCGCTATGCCGTCCTATTTAGCTGCGTTTTTTAAAGCCGCGTATTCCCCAGCCCAGCCCCATCTCCATGCAGCTGCTACTGGTTTTCAGTGGTTCTCCTGGTTGTATGCGGAAAAATTAGAAGGGGGGGGGGTTCTCCTGGGCTTGTATGCTCACAACTCAAAAGATACTATAATAGCAGGGAATCTTCATAGCTCATGGTTGAACTGTGGGGTCCCTGTTGGCCTTTGAGCTTGGTGGTTTTCTTGCACTTATTTATTTATTTATTTATTAGTCATATTACTATGCCGCCCACTCTCCGAGGACTCTGGGCGGCTTACACCAAAGACAGTATACTAAATAGATATTGCCCCCCAACAATCTGGGTCCTCATTTTACCCACCTCGGAAGGATGGAAGGCTGAGTCAACCTTGAGCCGGTGAGATTTGATCCGCTGATCTGCTGAACTAGCAGTCCGCTGAAGTAGCAGTCAGCTGCAGTACTGCACTCTAACCACTGCGCCACCTCAGCTCTTAATGATGTTAGTGGCAGGGTGGATTTGATTTAAATCGAGTTGATTTAAATCACAATTTAAATCATGATTTAAATCACTAGGCTTGATTTAAATCAACTCGATTTAAATCATAATTTTTAAAGAGCAACTGTCATCTCTGCTACTCCTTTGACCCACTGTTGACTCACCGATAGTCCCAGTATTGCAGAATATACAGCCCCATGCTACATAACTAAGCTCCATTTCAGGCTGAATAAACTAAATTATTTATGTATCTTAAATAGAAAACTATCTTACGATAGATTTTTACCCCAAAAGTTTTTTATTAAAATAAATTCGATAAAAATTTAAAAAATCCGATTTAAATAAAAAAAATCAGATTTTTTTGATTTTTTTAAAAAAAATCATTGATTTTTATCCACCCTGGTTAGTGGGATAATGAAATGTTTGCAAGAAAGCCGCCAAACTCAGAGAGCACCCCAGAGAAGAGAAACTATCCGGATACATTAAAGCAGCCCCTTATATGTGGGGCTTTGTTCAGGAGCTCTGTGGATCCAAATTCTGTACTGCAGTTGTATTTTGAAAAATTAATTTTTTAATGTATTTTATTCCTCACTTTTGGGAGAAAGTGGTTGTCGCCCTGTGTCCTTAGCTGGTGGAAAAATCTGAATGGGAATTGTTAGATCAGCTGGTTCTGATCCCACAGCTAGTCTGTCAGAAGCCTTTTCTGCTTATTTGTTCCAGTATTTTTGCCTGTCCCACCATCAATCCCCTTCAATTTTTCATTTTAATATCTCAGTCCTTGATTAGGGACAGGAGGGATAGGCCCTTTTTAAAGCCCTTTAATACGCAAGCAGAGTTTTCTTCAAATTCGAGAGCACAGAATTTAAGCCGCCTCCAATTCAATACCCATAACCACCCAGAGGCACTCAAGTATAATGGACAATATAGAAATTTAAAAAAAAAACCCAAATCCATAAATTACTCATCTTGCAATGCTGGCCGGAATATCCTGGGGATAAATAACATTTTTATTGTATTTCTCAGTTTCCCCAAATGAACCTACCGACTTGCGTTTGGGGCCGGAAACCGATAGAATTACGGAAGCAATTTGTGGTGTATTTTGCATGCGCCCCCTTTTTACAGCAAATAATTTTACTGGCAGCAGCATGAGTGTGGCCTAAGGATGGCTTGGCTGGGCATAGTTCCCCTCACCTGCCTAATGCTGAATTTGGGTGGTTGCCGCCACCCCCATAGCAGTATTGCAAGAGAATTCATGTAGCCACGAAGAAGATTTTTTATTATTATTATTTATATGCCGCCCTTCTCCGGAGACTCAGGGCAGCTTACAATGCATTAAGCAATACCCTTCATACTTTTGTATATACCTGCTTAGTAGGGTTTTTGGGTCCCCCTAAGCGGTGTTCTTTTTTATACAAAGTCAGCTTATTGCCCCCACAATCCGGGTCCTCATTTTACCTACCTCGGAAGGATGGAAGGCTGAGTCAACCTTGAACCTGGTGAGATTCGAACTTGCAGTAATTGCAGGCAGCTGGTGTTACTTAACAGCACTTTAGTCTGCTGTGCCACCAAGACTTGCCCTCAAAATGAGCATAGATTTGCCCCACGAAGTTGTGGGTGCTCTAAAGCTGGAATTTTTTAAGGAGAGATTGGACCACCATTTGTCTGAAACAGTATAGGGTTTCCTGCCTGAGCAGGGGGTTGGACTAGAAGACCTCCAAGGTCCCTTCCAGCTCTGTTATTCTCTTATTCTGTTTTCATATACCAGAACGGTATACAAAGTCAGCTTATTGCCCCCATAATCCGGGTCCTCATTTTACCTACCTCAGAAGGATGGAAGGCTGAGTCAACCTTGAGCCTGGTGAGAATTGAACTCGCAGTAATTGTAGGCAGCTGGAAGCTAAATACTACTTTTAACAGTAGCATAAGTCTGCTGCGCCACTCAGGCTCATTACATTGATAACAACAGGCCCCAACTATTGCCACAAAAGCGATGGGGTGAAGGGTTTGATGGGTAAGCGGAGGTTGCACAGGGCCGCAGATGGGCTGATGCAACTCCCCCCCCCAAAAAAAGGTGCGCACCCTTCATGCTGATTGGTTCCAACGTCTTACCGGGATGTTATGGAACTTAACTTCCCCATCCAGCTACAGGTAGTCCTCAACTGACAACAATTCATTTAGTGATCGTTGGAAGATTCAATGGCACTGAAAAAAGGGACTTGTGACCGTTTTTCACACTTACAACCGCTTGCAACATCCATGTGGTCATGTGATCCAAATTCGGACGCTTGGCAACAGACTCATACTTACGACTGTTGCCGTGTTACGTGATCCCCTTTTGCAACCTTCTGATGACCATATTTCTTACTGTTGTGGCATCTCCATGGTCATGTCATCAAAATTCAGACGCTGAATGTTGACTTGTACTTACGACCGTTGGAGTGTCCCAGGGTCACGTGGTCCCCTTTGCCGCCTTCTCACAAGCACAGTCAGTGGGGGAAGCCCGATTCACTTAACAACCCCGTTACTCCCTTAGCAACTGCACTGATTCACTTAACAACTGTGGCAAGAAATGTCGCAAAATGGGGCAAAACTCACTTAACAAATGTCTGACTTGGCAACCTAAGTTTGGGCTCCCTTGTGGTTGTAAGTCGAGGGCTACCTGCATTTCTGCTGCTAAAGTACCTGTTGAAGACAATGTTAACATTCACAAAAGGTGAAAACAACATTGGACAGAAAACTGCTCCCGGCCACCACTCCCCTACACACACACACACACACACACACACACACACACACAATATCGAAGTTTGCCTTGCATTGTGGAAAACCCACCTGGGTTTGATCAGCCCTGTGCAACGTGAACAACACCGGACCAAATTCACACCGGCCACGATAGGTGTGCAGATGCCCTCTGCGAGTGGGACAAATCGCCATCACCGAATTGTGACTGCAGGGCTGAAACACGAGCTATCCCACACATGGTGACACAGTGCAAAAAAAACAGGGGCCCCTAATGGAGACTTCATTGATTTCCTGGCTGTGACAAAAGAAGCCAAACATTATATCCGTAATGTAGACCAGGGGTCCCCAACCCCCGGGCCACTGCCCACTAAACAGGTCCTGACCCATTCGGAACCGGGCTGTGCAAACAGGTGGGTAGCGCACACAGCTGGCCTTGGTCGAGCGGCAAACTGCTTGGGCCAGCCGATTCCCCTCCTACCCACTCCTCACCGGGCCACCAAAGAGTCTCCAATGATGGCAACTTTAAGCCTGGAGGACTTCAATTCCCCAGCCAGGGGATTTCTAGGAGTTGAAGTCCTCCAGGCTTAAAGGGTGGAGACCCCCAATCGAGACATAACCTTCCCAGTATTTTTAGATTTTCTGTTTCATATTTTGTATTTTCATCTCTTGTACTCGTTGAAATGTGATGTGAATGTGTCATAATCTACTGGGAGGGAGGGGGAAGGCGAAGGACACTCAAACGGGAAACGTTAAAATTCGCTGGTGTATTTTTTAAAAAAATGCCTTTGCAACTATCTCTGACCGACAGCCGCCCGCCTTCCGCACAGCGCAGGAAAACTCTACGGCCGCCTTTGGCCCTTGTGCTAAGCTGGCAAATTTTCATGCTGGTCCCTTTGCCCACGGCCAGCTGTTGCGCACCTTAAAAAGGCTCCCTTTTCATTTTGAGCCACTTCTCCTGTGTCTGTATGCATCTCTTTGGAAACAAAGAAAGAAAGAAAGAAAGAGAAAGAGAAGGAAAACACACCACTTGGTTCTTTCTGCATGTTTGCAGGAGAACGGCGCCAGCACCATCCTGCGCGACATTGCCAGAGCAAGGGAGAATATCCAGAAGTCACTGGCCGGAGTGAGTACCCAAACGCTCTCTCACCAGCTGGCTCTTTCCGTTCTTTTTTTTTTTCCTGGCTGTGGCATATCTCTCAGACCCACCCTTCTTCCTTCCTTCCTTCCTTCCTTCCTTCCTTCCTTCCTTCCTTCCTTCCTTCCTTCCTTCCTTCCTTCCTTCCTTCCTTCCTTCCCTGATGATGTTCCATAGTTGGGTAATAAAATGTCTGCAAGAAAGCTATCAAGCTCAGAGAACCACCAAGGGCCCCACAGGCCTCCACTTCTTCCTCCTTCCCTCCCCCTCCTCTTCCCTTCCCTTTCCTCCTCCTCCTCTCTGCAAACCCCACTCCCTTCTAGCACTGATGATGTTCCATAGTTGGGTAATGAAACGTCTGCAAGAAAACTATCAAGGTCAGAGAACACCCAGCAACCCACAGTTATCTTCCCTCTCCCTTCTCTGCAAACCCTACTCCTTTGCAGCACTGATGATGTTCCATAGTTGGGTCATGAAACGTCTGCAACAAAACCACCAAGCTCAGAGAGCATCAAGGACCCAATAGTCCTCCTTCCTCTTCCTCCTCCTCCTCTGATAAACTCTTACCTGTGTGGTTGTCTGTGGAGATTCTCAGTCATCCAGGTCATGGTTGTCCCGAAGGTGCCTCTTTTTTTTTTTCTTCCTAAAAGCAACTGGACTTTGTTTTCCCTTGAAGATGTTTCGCTTCTCATCCAAGGAGCTTCTTCCGTTCTACTGAAGCTTCCGATCAAGAACGGAAGAAGCTTCTTGGATGAGAAGCGAAACATCTTCAAGGAAAAACAAAGTCCAGTCGCCTTTGGGGAAAAAAAGAAATAAAAACACCCTTGTTTGACCGCCTGTTTGGATTCTCTTGCCTTAAGTTAGAGAGCCCGGATTGTGTGAGGTGAGCTCTATCCTGCAAAGCACAATATCGCAGACAAGCAAATCTTAAGGCTCGGCTTCCTCCAGGGAGTAACGCTTTTGCAGATTAAACCTAAACAACTACAGGTAGTCCTCGACTTAAAACATTTTGTTTAGTGACCGTTTGAAGTTACAACGACCGTGAAAAAAATGACTTATGACCATTTTTCCCGCTTACGACTGTGGCAGCATCCACGTGGTCACGTGATTTACCTGCGGGATGCTTGACAACTGACTATGTTTACGACGGCTGCAGTGTCCCTGAATTATGCGATCTTCTGATGAGCAGAATTGACAGGGAAGCCAGATTTACCTCAGAACCGTGTGACTCACTTAACGCGTGCAAGCGATTCCCTTAACAACTGTGGCCAGAAAGGGGCGAAACTCACTTAACAACTTGTCTGGGTTTGCAGCAGAAAGTTTTGGGCTGCATTGCGGTCGTATGTCGAGGAGTACCTGTAAACATGGGCTATTTGGTGCCAGAATGCACAATTCAAAATTCTTGGCTGGTCTGACTGCAGAATTTTCCGTAATTCTTCCTCAGAAGGAGAGCGAACAAGAATAGCTGCATTCTGCGACCCTTTTCACTGTACAGGTAGTCCTCGAATTACAGCCATTTTATTTAGTGACCATCCGAAGCGACAATGGCCCTGAAAAAAGTGATTTATGGCCATTCCTCACACTTACAACTGTCACAACAACCCCACAGTCACAGGATCAAAATGTGGGTGCTTGGCATCCATGTCCTGGGGTCATGCGATCGCTGCTTGCGACCTTCCCAGCTGGGCTTCCAACAAGCAAAGTCGGCGGAGGACGTCGGATTCGCTTAAGGACTGTGTTATTCACTTAACAACCATGGCCAACAAAATTGGGCACGAGCCCCTTCATAACTGCTTTGCTGAGCAATGGAAGTTCTGCTCCCAATTGTGGGTCATAAATCGAGGACTTTCTTAGCCAAGCTGGAAAGGAAGGATATTGAGGTGAGACTGGTAGTCCTTGACTTGCGACCACAATTGAGCCCCAAATTTCTGTTGCTAAGTGAAACATTAGTTAAGTTAATTTTGCCCCATTTTACGACCTTCCTTGCCACAGTTGTTAAGTGAATCACTGCTGTTATTAAGTTAAAAACACAGTCGTTAAGTGAGTCTAGTTTTCCCATTGATTTTGCTTGTCGGGAGGTCGCAAAAGGGGATCAGCTGACCCCGGAACACTGCAACTGTCATAAATGTGAGTCAGGTTCCAACTGTCTCAATTTTGATCATGTGACCACGGGGAGGCTCCAACGGTCGTAAGTCAGAAAAACGGTCATCAGTCACTTTTCCAGTACCATTGTAACTTTGAACAGTCACTAAGTGAATGGTTGCAATTTTGAGGACTAGCTGTCCTGCCCTCTTAAGTTTCCCGGGGAAGATAAGAGGTAGTTTTCCACTTAGGACGAAAATTGAGCCCAAAATTTTCTTTGCTAAGTTAAGTGAGTTTCCCCCAGTTTATGAACTTTCTCGATACCGTTGTTAAGCGAATCAGTGCAGTTGTTCAGTTCATAACACGGTCGTTAAATGAACCTCGCTTCCCCATTGACTTTGCTTGTCAGAAGGTCACAAAAGGTGACCCCGGGACCCTGCAACCGTCATAAATGTGAGTCAGTTGGCAAGTGTCTGAATATGTGACCACGAATGGATGTTGCAACGGTCGTAAGGGTGAGAAACGGTCCTAAATTACTTTTTCCATGCCGTTCAAACAGCCACTAAACAAATGGTCGTAAGCCAACGATTTACCTGGGGTCTACTCAGATTCTAACCCTGGTGCAGGGAATATTTAAAAGGTTTAATATTTAACATTTAAAGAAAACAAGAACTTTTTCTGAATTTTTTTTACGGAAACAGAGACTCTGATTTAAAGACCGTTTTCCTCATTCGGGGCCTTTCCAGGTGTGTTAGCATTGGAGGCCAGCAGGTGCACCTGTGGAGATGCTGCTGGATTGAGCCCAAAATCAAGATGAAAATCAATATAAGATCAGAATTCTACCCCTTTCCCACTTTTCGGCTTCAAATCGGAGAACTTTCATTTCTCCTAAAAAGCCAAGCTGCACCTCTACAATTAATCCTCGATTTACGACGATAAGTGAGCCCAAAATTTCCATTGCCAAGCGAGCCCGTTGTTAAGTGGACCTTGCCCCGTTTTACGACCTTCCTTGCCGCCGCCGTTGAGTCAATCCTTGCAGTTGTTGAGGAAGTAACACGACTGTTAATTAATTTGGCTTCTCATTGACTTTGCTGGTCAAAAGGTCGCAAGAAAGGATCACGTGAAGCCCCGGGACACTGCAACAGGCATAAGTACATGCCAGTTGCCAAGCACCTGAATTCTGATCCACCTGTCCACGGGGATGCTGCAACGGTCGTAAGTGTGAAAAACGTTATAAGTCGAGGACTGCCTGTGTGGGATATGACGGTGCGAAACTCCCTGGCAGGTTGAGGATTTGAGTTGGTTTAGGACAGTCCCTGAACGAGGCTGTGATGGTAATTCTGACGGCAAATTGGCAATTAGATGTCGGGTATGACTCAGTAGATGAATACAGGCAGTCCTCGACTTACAACCATTCACTTAGTGACTGTTCAAAGTTACGACGACCCTGGAAAAAAAGCGACTTACGACCGTTTTTCAGACGTCCGACCGTTGCAGCATCCCCACAGCCACACGATCAAAATTCAGACCCTTGGCAACCGATTCATATTTATGACAGTCGCGGTATCCCGGGGTCGTGTGATCCCCTTTTGCGACCTCCTCCCAATGGGGGAAGCCAGATTCACTTAACAACCACGTTACTAAACAGCTGCCATGATTTACTTAACCGGGGCAAATCTCATTTAATAAGGGTCTCGCTCAGCAACAAAGATGTCAGGCTCAACTCTGGTCATAAGTCAAGGACTGACTGTACGTAGCCTTGCCCCATCCTATCCCTGGCTGTCTCTGGTTTAGGCTGGCCGGTGGTAGCCCTCCTGTTCGAAGATATATCTTCTTTTTCTTTTTTTTTTGCAGATGTTCTGTATTAAATATCCATATTCTATTTTTAAGCGACCCTTGGAGAACTGTCAGCTAAGGTGGTTATTATATTTCATGATGGATTAGATCTGCTTGAAGGAGAGTACGGGAAAATAATAATTCTCGGTTTTCCTTTTTCTTTTCTTTTTTTACGTAAAGAGCTGCTTCTAAAACACTTGAAATTACTCAAATATTTTCAGTCTCAACCAAATTGTGAAAAACTGTCATAAGTCCCTTTTTTCAATGCCGTCGTAACTTTGGACAGTCACTAAATGAACTGTTGTTAAGTCGAGGATTACCTGTAAGAGTTCATTTAGTGACCTTTCAAAGTTACGATGGCACCGAAAAAAAGGGACTTACGACCGTTTTTCACACTTACGACCGCTGCGGCATCCCCGTGGTCACATGATTTATATTTGGATGCTGGACAACTGACTCACATTTATGACGGTGGAAGTGTCCCAGGGTCACGTGATCCTCTTTTGCGACCTTCTGAGTAGCAAAGTCAACAAAGCCAGATTCACTTAACAACCAAGTTCCTAATTTAACATCTGCAGTCAGAAAGGCCGTAAAACGGGGCAAAACTCACTTAATGCCCATCTCACTTAGCAACAGACATTTTGGGCCGTCCGTTGAGGACGCCGTATACGGAAATTCTTAATTTTTTTTTATTATTTTTTTAAATTTGATTTATATGCCGCCCTTCTCCGAAGACTCAGGGCGGCTTACAATGCGCTCAGCAATAGCCTTCATCCTTTTGTATATTTATACAAAGTCAGCTTATTGCCCCCACAAACTGGGTCCTCATTTCACCTACCTTAGAAAGGATGGAAGGCTGAGTCAACCTTGAGCCTTGGCGAGATTCGAACCCTGCAGTAATTGCAGGCAGCTGGTCTTAATAACCAGCTTAATAACAGGGTGCCTTAAACCCCTGTACTACCAAGGCTCTTTTCCCTTTTATATGTAAGCAGCTGCTTTTAAAACACTTGAACTTATGCCTTGGCTGGATTCAGCGCTTGCAACATTTCCGGTCTCGGCTAAATCCGGCTCCCATAATTATTATTATTATTATTATTATTTTTAAAGGCTGCCCAGCTGCATAAAGACATTGGGTGGTTTACAATATGTGCAAGTAGGTAACTTAGAGGCAGGCCCAAGCAAAGCAACCTGACCCAGTTTTGAAAAATGTTCAAGAGGGTTTTCACAGATGCCCTGTGCCAGGCCTGGGAAAAAAGCCAAGGCATTAGAAGGACATTCTGTTCTAGAGGGCAGGACTTTGGCAGAGAAGTCACAACTCCAGGCAGGGTAAAAAGCAACAGATGGGAAACTCATCAAGGAGAGAAGCCACCTAGAACTTAAGGAGAAATTAATTTCCTGGCAGTGAGAACAATCCACCAGTGGAACAGAAGTTGTCTCCAGAAGTTGTGGATGCTTCATCACTGGAGGTTTTTAAGGAGAGACTGGGCAGCCATTTGTCTGAAATTGTATAGGGTCTTTTGCTTGAGCAGGGGGTTGGATTAGAGGACCTCCGAGGTCCCTTCTGACTCTTGTTATTCTGTTACGACATGTCTCACCAAACAGTTTGCGCATCCAAGGATGTTACATAATAATGCCCTGTTCATCGTCGTGTTTCTTGCATGGAGAATGTGGAATTGGGATCGTAGAAACACCCAGGAGCATAGAAGAGTTCAGAGGCAGATGCATAAATAAATGTCTTAAACGTATTTATTCATATGATAAATCATATTAACTATGTACAACAGAGATCAAGTCTCATGAGGAACAAACATGAAAAGAGAGAGATGGAGAGAGCAAGGTGGAAAAGGTTGGAGGGGGTCTTATACGCAGGGTAAGCCCCTCCTTTCCACATGGGGTGGAGACACTCTCTGCCTCCACTGGCGTCTATATGACACATGCGCCAATGGCTTGCAAATACTTGACCGAGAACAGTCAGTCAAGCAAAGGTTCATTTGTTATCCTAATTATAATTCTCCATATTGTGAAAAGCAATCTCTTTAAATCCAGGGTCTCCAACCTTGGCAACTTTGTAGACTTCAACTCCCAGAGTTCCTTAGCTAGCTTTGCTTTGCTGGCTGAGGAATTCTGGGAATTGAAGTCCACAAGTCTTAAAGTTGCCAAGGTTGGAGACCCCTGATTTAAGCAGCATAAATGCAGCATTTGAGATTCACAGGGTAGCCGTTTCCAGCCCAAATAATGGGCATTTTCTGGTTTAAAGACACTGCTTAAGCCTGCTCCCTGTATTCTGCACCTCATTGCTCTCACAATCTCAGCATACTGGTACTTTTGAAAGTATTTTTTAAAAAATCCTTTTAATTCCTGCACGTGGGGCTTCTTCTACATCGGCCTTCTACTGCACTGCATGAATGAATCTCCATCATGGTGGGATTATGTTACCAAGAATATATATCTATATCTATATATATATATATCTTGCCCTTTCCAGCTCAAGACAGTTTTGCAAAACCCTCAGGAAGCCGCTGGTGTTCGGTCCAAGAAGCACCGGGGTCGCGCGGCTGTAAGTCGCTTGTGGGAAGGAAGCGATCACCTTCTGTCCATCTGTCTGTCTGCCCCAGCCGGCATGGAAGAAACGGCCGTCCTCCATGCCTCTTGTTGTGTTGCTTGGAAAACTCTGTCCTGTCCATTGTCCATTTCTATGCATTTTTTGGCTTCTCAGTTTCCTGCTCTGAATTATGGAGCTTCAGGCATCTTCTGGAGGGGATCAGCCGTTGACTTTAAAGCTGTAATGTAATTCCTCCCTTTTTTTTTAAAGAGACATCTATGCCTCCTAAAGGGATGCGGTGGCTCAGTTGGCTAAGAAGCTGAGCTTGTCGATCGAAAGGTCGGCAGTTCAGCAGTTCGAATCCCTGGTGCCGCGTAACGGGGTGAGCTCCCATTACTTGTCCCAGCTTCTGCCAACCTAGCAGTTCGAAAGCACATAAAAAATGCAAGTAGAAAAATAGGGACCACCTTTGGTGGGAAGGTAACAGCGTTCCGTGCGCCTTTGACATTGAATCATGCCGGCCACATGACCACGGAGATGTCTTCGGACAGCGCTGGCTCTTCGGCTTTGAAACGGAGATGAGTACTGCCCCCTAGAGTCGGGAACGACTAGCACGTATGTGCGAGGGGAACCTTTACTTTTATGCCTCCTAAGTATCAGATACTTACCAGTATATTAGTCATACCCTATACGTAAAAGTCCCCTTACTTACTTGTACAGGTAGTCCTCAACTTACGGCCACAATGGAGCCCAAAATTCCGTGTTGCTAAGCAAGACATTGGTTAAGTGGGTTTTGCCCCTTTTACGACCTTTCTCACTGCAGTTGTTAAGTCAGTAACACGGTTGTTAAGTGAATCCGGCTCCCCCATTGACTTCGCTTGTCAGAAGGTCGCAAAAGGGGGTAACGTGGCTCCCGGGACACTGCGACCGTCATAAATATGAACAGGGTTGCCAAGCGTCCAGATTTTGATCACGTGATCGTGGAGATGCTGCCACGGTCGTAAGACTGAAAGATGGTCGTAAGTTACTTTTCTCGGTGCCGTTGCTGGTTTGTTGTTTTTTTTTCCCGGTGCCGTTTTAACTTCGAGCAGTCGCTAAACGAATTTGGTTGTAAGTCAAGGATAACCTGTACCTGACGGTGAATGTTTTAACAACCAGGTAGATTTTTCCCAAAGGAAAAAAAATAGCTTGTTTGGCAGAAATCCGTTCCCAGACAGCATGATGCAAAAGTGACTTCAGTTCCATCGAAGGGTTTTAGGCTGCTAATATCTCGCTTGCTTCCCCCCCGCCCCCCGCTTTTGAATCTTTTGCGGGTTTCACAAAATCTGCTTTTGCACTTTGCCAGAGTAGCTACGTTGTTAAAGGCTGGAGAAATAAATCCTTCTGCTTGCCAAAAAAAAAAAAAAAAATCCAGCCAAAATTGCCTTGAACTCGGTAACTGATCGATTTGTAGCCCAGCTCTTGAGAGTTTCTGTTGATCCTAGGGAGACAGACAGACGGACATTCTGTCCACCCTGAAAAAGGAAAGGTATTTCTGCCCTCAGCCTTGTGGGATGGTGAGATTTTATTACAGGGTTGGGTTCTTGCCCTTCCTTCCTTAACATAGAGTTCATACTTCCCAGTTGAAGACGCTGGACCACGTCCTAGCAAAGTACCAATAAAGGAGAACGTTGGGAGCTCAGGGTTGAAATGAGAGGCCCTTGGGTGCTCTCTCAGCATCAGTCGTGAGATTACCTAGTTGGTTAATGAATCGCCTGCAAGAACACAACCAAGATCAGAGAGCACCAAGGACCCCACAGTTGTCCTCCTCTTCCTCTTCCTCACTGCAATCCCAACTGCCCTGTAGCACTGATGACGTTACCTAGATGGATCATGAAATGTCTGCAAAAAAGGAACAAAAAACAACCGAGCTTAGAGAGCACTAAGGAGAAAGGGAGGAAGGAAAGGAAAGGAAAGGAAAGGAAAGGAAAGGAAAAGGAAGGAAGGAAAGAAAGAAGGAAGGAAGGAAGGAAGGAAGGAAGGAAGGAAGGAAGGAAGGGAAGGGAAGGGAAGGGAAGGGAAGGGAAGGGAAGGGAAGGGAAGGGAAGAACCAAGCTCAGAGAGCCAAGGAACCCTCATAGCAAGATCATACAGCATTGCAACTTTTAATTATTCTAAGATGCATTATGCCTCTCTATAAATACCATTTTAAGAAATCAAGGAAACACACCCTGGGCATTCAAGAATCTCATCTCCCTTTTCCTTTGCAAACCATAAAAGCTTTCAGGTCTTGTGCTCTTACTGGTTCCCAGTTGCTTTCTGGAAGTCTCCCCTGTCCATCTCCCCCTTGTGGCTACAGCTTGGCTTTATTGTCTGTGGGTCTGGCCGAGGTCAGCGGTTGGCCTGGCCTCACCTCCCCTTTGTCTTCGCTGTCTCTTGCAGACCGCCAGCGGCCCCTCCCCCGCAGGACCAGCCGGAGACCAAAATGAGGTGGTCACCAGGATTGCTAACTTGGAGGCAGAGAACCAACAGCTTCGTAGTGGTGAGTAGCCATGCCTGTAAGACTTGATAGTAGCTATAAATTGAGGGATTAGAGTGCAGCTTCCTATCCTTCTAATAATCTTTTTTTCTTTCGGTTTTCAGTGGTCACAAACCTCCAAGTGGCCATCTCCAAACTGGAGTGTCGGCTGAGCGTGCTGGAAAGGGCATCGGCTTCCCATCATCCTTCCCCACCTCCACCAACACAGGTAAAATGTGCTAAAAAAAAAAAAAAAGTCTTATGCGTGTCCATTGCTTTGCTCATTTTAAAAAGCACATGCTTTTTAAAATCCAAGGCCCATTCCTTCCAAGGCCTTCTTAGCAACGAATAGAATAGAATACAATACAATACAATACAATACAATACAATACAATACAATACAATACAATACAATACAATACAATACAATACAGAGTAGAATAGAATAGAATACAATAGAATAGAATAGAATAGAATAGAATACAGAGTAGAATAGAATAGAATACAGAATAGAATACAATACAATACAATACAGAACAATACAATACAGAGTAGAGTAGAGTAGAGTAGAGTAGAATAGAATAAGAAATAGGATAGGATAGGATAGGATAGGATAGAATAGAATAGAATAGAATAGAATAGAATAGAATAGAATAGAATAGAATAACAGAGCTCAGAGCTGGAAGGGACTTTGGAGGTCTTCTAGTCCAGCCTCCTAATTTAACGGGCATCTTCGCCTTGACTCACACAGCCAGATGCCTGATGAGCAATGTTGAGATATCCCAATTAGTTCTCCTCGGGAGAAGAGCAGTGGTAGGTTGGAGTGAGGCCCTCCCAAAACCTTCAGGCAAGGTCCCTCAAATAGTTGGTCCCATGCCATGAAGGGCTTTATAGGTGAAGTTCCCACCCTTGTGCTTTGAAGGGGGAGTGGGACAACTGGTTGCGGGACAATTTAACACTTCCATTTACTGTAATTATTTAAAATAAATAAAAATTTAATGGCTACCATTCACCTTTCATTCTGTCCCTCCTTTCGCATCCTTTCTTTAATGATTCTATTCCACCATATTTTTTGATGTTAGCATCACTCTTGTCCTGCAGCGAGTTGCCGTGGCGTGTTGGCTGCGGCAAATTGTCATAGACCCCTTTGAAAGGTGGTGCCCGCTGGCGTCGAGAAAGCCAGGCCTCCTTCCCACGCCTTCCTCCTCCTCCTCCTTTCCAATGAAACTCTCGAAACTTCCCCTTGGGAAGGGCTTCCGGGGTGAGGCTCACCTTCTCGTTTTCTCCACAAAGCACGTCACCCCCATGAAGAAAGTGGAGCCCCTGGCCGTGCAGTCCAAGAAGGTGGTGCTCCCTTCAGCTGCCATCAAAGAAGAATCCCTGGGCGGTGCCGCCGCTGCCGCCTCCTCCGAGGAAGACGACGACATCGACCTGTTTGGCAGCGACGAAGAAGAGGAGGACCAAGAAGCTGCCCGCCTTCGGGAAGAGCGGCTAAAGCAGTACGCCGAGAAGAAGTCGAAGAAGCCGGGCCTGATTGCCAAGTCCTCCATCCTTCTGGACGTCAAGCCGGTAAGTGGGAGGCTTTTAGGGTGGAGGCCTGGTTGGCGTTCCCACGTGCCCAGCCCACGTTCCCCGCTTCCGTGTTCCTCCTCGAGCCCACAATGCTGGACCGATCTTCTTGAGGCAGGCAAGAAACAAAATTTCATTTTTCTGAGTTTTTCATCTGCCCACAGGGTGCTTAAATCTGGCCCGCGGATCCGACCTGGAAATATTAAAGACTGGTCCGTGGTGTCTCTACCGGCCAAAAAGGATTGCGGGCGCCGCTGCCCCCCCCCCCCGGCCCATTTTCGGCCTCCACAGCCTCCTGCAGCACTTTGCTGGGCAAAAACAGGTCGCACTGGCACTCCCGAGGCTCCGCATCAGTGGTGGGTTCCTCCCGGTTCGGCCGAGCCGGTAGCGGTGACGATATGACGTCACCAAACCGGTTCTCCCCCCCGTCCTCCCCCCCCCACGTTATTCTTACCTTTTATTTGGTCCCACCCCCAATCTATTGCTGCCTCCTGAGTCCCAGCTGATGACTAGAGGGAAAAAAACTGTTTAAACTCTTGCCGGGGGGCTTCAAAGGGCCGCCCTACAGCTGATCAGTGTTAAAAGCAAACAAATGAGTCGGGTCGTAAGTGCGAGGACTGGTCGTAAGTGCGAGGACCTTCCAGAAATGACTCTGACCAGCTAGCCACGCCCACCTAGTCACATGACCTCCAAGCCACACCCACAAAATAAGCCACGCCCACAGAACCGGTAGTAAAAAAAATTTAGAACCCACCCCTGCTCCGCATGGTCCGTTTTGGCTGGCAGGGTGTTGCAGGAGGCATCCATCTTGTCTTCCCCCCCCACTCCCCACTGTTGGCCCTCCTCCGTGGGCCGCTGCCCCCCCCTCACCCCGCACTGGCCCTCGCAGGAGAACTACTGATCCGTCCCTTGAAGAAATCCAGTTTGACAGCCCTGCCTTAAAGAGTTGATGTAGGATGGTTTGAACTGCTGGCTAGGATTGCTGAAGGAGGTTTCTGGATCTCACAGGGCTGGGCTTAAGATTCACTGATTTTCTTCGGGGTTGGCAAAGTAGCAGAAATGAGCCAGGCTGCACCCCTTGGAGAGTTGGCAGCTGTTCACATTTCTAGCAATGGTTCCTGCACAAGGTAAACCTTGTTTGCTTGTTCTTGCAGCTTAACCAAGACCGAGGTGGGCAAACCGGTATTTGCGACCAGCGAGTGGGCCTGTCCCCCTGCCCCGGCGCTATCCCGTCCTATATCGCTGTGTTTTTGAAGCTGCGCACATGTGCGGAGGGCCACATGCATGCACGGGCTCACATTTTTGGTGCTGGGCAAACCGGTTGTTACATTATGTGACAGCGACCTCTGGTTCCGTCTTTGCTCCTTCAGTGCCTTGGACGCTGTAGGAAGGGAACCATGTTGGTCAAAAATAGTTCCATAAAATCAGGAGGAGTCTGTGAGCACCTTTTTCTGATGAACAAATTAATTTAATTAACAAAAAGCATATAGTGTTTTATAAGGGGTCCTCAATTTAATGACCGTTGGTTCAAGCGACCGTTCAAAATTGGGACAGCGCTGAACAAAGGGACTACAACTGTTGCTCAGAATTGGGGCCCGTCGAGACTGATTCACACTTTCGCCTACATTTTTCCTTCGCTCGCAACTTGACAATAACAAGGAGCTGCATTGGATGGAATGCCAGGGTGTGGGGGATGGTATCCAAGCAACCGTCAGCTTCCGGGAGACATCGCCACCATTTCAAGAGCTCACCGAGCAGATGTGGCTGGCTGTTTCCCATAACAATATGAACAGAAATGATTGGTGGACTGTGGGTGGCCCATAGGGAAATTGGGGGAATTAACTATGCTTGCTTTCACGCGAGAAACCCAGAGCTGGTTTCGCTTCTTCTGTGCCAATGGTTTTTTTTTTTTTAGTAAAGTTTTATACTCTTGGTAAAATAATGTCTCAGGAGTTTCTTTTTCTGGATTTGCCAACTGGACAGTTGATGGGGCCTTACAATGCCCCTGGGACACCTGATTGCGATCTCAGCTCAGCTGTTTGATAAGGACCTGTGCTTAGCGACCATGCCTGGATGGGCCAATACTTTGGTCACTAAGTGAGTTGATTATGTGGGCATCACGCTTAACCACTCCCACGACTTACGACAGTTAATGGGCAGGCTCCATTATGGTCGTAACTGAAGGGCTTCCAATCATTTGTTAGTTGGAAAAGTTGCTCACGGATTCCACCTGATTTTCTATTACATTTCTGCTGGAATTTGGATATTTCTGCTGGAATTTTGGACAGGCGCAAAGGCTGAGCGGTTAAAGACACTGAGCTTGTCAGCGAGCAAACCGACAGCCTGGGTTCGAGACCCGTGGGCTGCGTGACAGGGTGAGCTCCCGTTCCTCGCTCCAGCTCCTTGCTCCACTTAGCAGTTCGAAAGCATGCAAAGATGAGTAGATAAATAGGTACCACTTCGGTGGGAAGGTAACATCGTTCCGTGCGCCTTCGGTGTATAGCCACGACAGCCACGTGACCGCGGAAATTATCTTCAGACAGCGCTGCCTCCCTCAGCCAAGCAACAGAGATGAGCACCTAGAGTTGGATACAACTAGACAGGGGAAACTTTTACCTTTTATTTCTGCTGATCTGAGGGACCCTGGTGGTTCCTTAACAGGGTGTGCAAAATATACTGTTTTGTTATTGGCGCAACATTTCTGTCACCTTCCTTCCCAGACTGAGCCTTTGCAGAGATACTCCGAAGGCTTTCTTTTAGGCAATCTTCTAGAACAGGAAGTGGTCCAGGAACGCTCTATGCGCGCCTGTTTCTTAATGTTCTCTAAGTGGCTTTTTATTCCCTTTTCGCTTTGGGTAGCTGCAGAAAGACGAGACACATTTGTACAGCGAAACTGCAATTTAATGCGTTGGGCAGACTTTGGATGCCACAGACAAAATAGTAGACTAATTGCAAGAGGCTGAGTTGATAATGCACAGCCGATGCTTGTAGGACTCATATCCAAGGGAAGGTGAAAAGGGAATGTTTTATTTAGCACAGAGGAGTTTCAAGATGGCTGGAGGATGTAGGACAGGGGTCTCCAAACATCGCCGCTTTAAGATTTGTGGACTTCAACTCCCAGAATTCCCCAGCCAGCATGGCTCTACTCTGCGGGGGACTTCCTGCTTTCTCTGACAGTGATTGTCATGCCCCCATTGGAGCCTGAATCTGCATGGGAGGTTATGCCGGAACTGTGGCCGACAGAGACTGAGTGGGCGGCTTTGTTGGTTTTGAAGGAATGGGGAGGGGGAGCAGGACGGGGCAGCCCCGGGTCCCTCAGGCTTGGGACAGCTTGCCAACAGGGAAGAACGGGGGCAGGACAACCAAGAGAGGGCAGGCAGTGGAAATGAAGAGTGACGGAGCTCAGGCGATGAGCAAGGACTGCCCCCTCCTGATCCCTGAGCACAGAGAGTGGAGAGAAGGCAGGAACAGCGCAGGCCAACCTGACAACTCGGGAGGAGAGCGTCCCACTCTTTACAAGGCACACCTGGGGATTGCGATTTAAGGAGATCTGTGGGGAGGGGCGTTTGTTGGGAACAAACGCCAAATTTGTGGAGTTGTGTGTTGTTGTTGCAGACATTTGGAGTTTGCTGGACTTCTTGCCTTGTTCCTTTGCTTCCTGGACTCATTGACCTATTCACTTGCCCCGCTGGACTTCTTGCTTTGAAGCCGGTGTACTAACAGCGTTTTGCTGGACTACTTGCGGCCAGAGGCTGCTGGAGGGGGGTATGTGTGAGTGTGGGTGTGAGCACTTTGCTCTGGGACTTGCCATAAACATGGGAGCGTTTGGGGGAAAGTTGGAGCAATAAAGGGGCGGTTTGAACTATCAGCTGACTGTGTTGCCCCAGGTCATCACACTGATTCGAAGTGGCAAGCAAACACATCAGATCTGGGGGTGTGGGCTGTGGAGAGTGGGGGATGCAGCTCATTTATGTCCTGACATCACCATGGCTATTGGCATCCTTCTGCCTCTGCTGGCTGTGGAATTCGAAGTCCTCAAATCTGCCAAGTTTTGAAACTCCCGAAGTTGGAAATGACCAGGCTGAGCCTGAAGGTGGGATCAAACGCATCATTAGTCTGGAGTCCCTACACACCTGAAAGAGACCAAAGTCCACCCTCCCTCCCCCCTTGAAGTCCATTCACTGCTATCTGCCGCCAATTTGCCTTGACCACGAATAGATCAGATTCTGGTATAGGCTGCATGGAATAAATAAATTCACAGTGCCTGAAAGGGGACTCTAATTTCATGCAAATTTTGGCCTCCTTTGGAGAAGCAATTGTTTTCCCAATTTTGTGGGTTGGTTTTCAGCTCATTTACAGAAAACCCTTTATTTCTGCACTATTATTTCTCACACTTCTTCCCCCCCCCCCCCCCTTCTTCTTTCCAGTGGGATGACGAAACGGACATGGCCAAAATGGAGGAGTGTGTCCGATCTGTTCAGATGGATGGCCTCGTCTGGGGGGCTTCCAAACTGGTCCCAGTGGGCTACGGCATCAAGAAACTCCAGATCCAGTGTGTGGTGGAGGACGACAAAGTCGGGACAGATATCCTGGAAGAGGAGATTACCAAATTTGAAGATTATGTAAGTTTTTCAAAGGTGTTGTATTCCTTTCGGATGGGCCACCACAAAGTTCTGCCAAAGACTAGTAAAGGCTAGGAAAAAGCAAGTTATAAATCAGGGAATATCTGGAGTTAAGGCCTTATGCCAAAGGTTCCCTTGCAGGGATCACAGATTCTCTCAAATTACCTCCGATACTCTGTAGAGCAGGGATCAGTAATCTTTCCCTCCCTAGGATCAGTAGCCAGGCTGCCACAATCACAGATCTGGGCATTTTACAGTTCCCGGGTCATATTTCGCCCTTCTGGCTCGCACGGATTGCTTTTATTTTGATGATGGAAATGAAGATTCAATCATCCAGGCCAAAAAGTATCTTAAAAAGGTTAAATCTTGGCAACTGGAACAAAGTTTATTCAAACGGAGACATTTCGTTACTCATCCAAGTAGCTTCTTCAGTCAAAATGAAAATTTTGGGCAGGCAGAGAAAGGGGTTGGAAAGAAGGGTTGCAGGAACTGGGCTTGGCTAGTCTAGTGAAGAGAAGGACCAGGGAAGACATGATAACAGTCTTCCAATATTTGAGGGGCTGCCACAGAGAGGAGGGGGTCAAGCTATTTTCTAAAGCACCAGAAGGCCAGACAAGGAATAATGGATGGAAACTGATCAAGGAGAGATTCAACCTGGAGATGATGAGAATGTTTCTGACAGTGAGAACAATCAACCCATGGAATAGAAGTTGCCTTCGAAAGTTGTGGGAGCTTCATCACTTGAGACATTCAAGAAGAGACTGGACTGCCATCTGTCAGAAATGGCGTAGGGTCTCCTGCTTGGGTAGAGGGGTTGGACTAGATGATCTAAAAGGTCCTTTCCAACTGTGTTAATCTGTTAAATCTGTTTTAACAGATTCTAATTCTTGCCATAAAGATTGCAGGGGGTTTCTTCCCAAAATGAAAAGCAACCTGAAAATGAAGATTCAGTCATACAGGCCAAAAGTATCTCAAAATGTTAAAACGAAACCGTTTTAATAAACTTTGGTCCAGTTGCCATGATTTTTTTTTATTTATTTATTTTTATTATTTGATTTATATGCCGCCCTTCTCCGGAGACTCAGGGCGGCTTACAATGAGTTAAGCAATAGCCTTCATACTTTTGTATATTTATACAAAGTCAATTTATTGCCCCCACAAACTGGGTCCTCATTTCACCTACCTTAGAAAGGATGGAAGGCTGAGTCAACCTTGAGCCTGGTGAGATTCGAACCTGCAGTAATTGCAGGCAGCTGGTCTTAATAACAGGGTGCTTTAGACCAGTGTACTACCAAGGCTCCTAACCTTTTCAGATATTTTATTTTGAAGGCAACTGCTATTGTTATTTTTTTCAATTGACATCTATGCATGCATGGGGGCCTGAGCACTTCACAGCCTTATTGGTTTGGCCTTCCACAACAGTCTCAGTTTCTCATGTGGGGAGATTAATTGCCCTCCCCTGCTCTGTCTTGATTTCCTGCTCCTCTGCCTCACATCTGGGCAGGGAACATGTTGAGGTGGCCGGTCAGTGCCATCGCTTCAAGAACATCCAAACAGTTCGCTCCCTCTCCCTTGCACAGGCTGGGTGGGTATATTTCTTTTGGAGTCACATGGCTTGAATTGTTTCAAGTGGTAGGCCACATCTGACCCATGGGCCGGAGGTCACCGACCCTGTTCCAGAGAGATCCAGAAGCACAGAACATGTGAGCCTGGATAGCTCTGCAGACAAAGGCACTGTAATTTAACACCAGCTGTCTGCAATTAAAGTAAGTTCGAATCTTGCCAGGCTCAAGGTTGACTCAGCCTTCCATCCTTTCTAAGGTAGGTAAATTGAGGACCCAGTTTGTGGGGGCAATAAGCTGACTTTGTATAAAATATACAAAAAAAAGTATGAAGGCTATTGCTTAACGCACTGTAAGCCACCCCGAGTCTCCGGAGAAGGGCGGCTTATAAATCAAATTTAAAAAAAAAAATCCTCTCCCCCCCAAAATCATAAAGGATCAGGGATTTCAGGTCACCTGAAAGATATTTGACCAGAAGTGTCCAATCTTGGCAACGTTATGACTTGGGAACTTCAACTCCCAGAATTCTAGGAGTTGAAATTTCCAGGTCATAACGTTGCCAAGATTGGATTAGCCCTGTTCTAGGACCATGCATTTAAATTGCATGCTTTAACTAGGTTTATTGCAAACCTCATAGCTACTGTATATTCGCTCATTTATTTATTTGTTAAATTTATTTGCCACCTGTCTCGGCATGGGGGCGACTCCAGGCGGCTTACAACTATAAAAAGGAACAAAAATGAAAAGACGTGTAAACGGAACAGAAGTAAAACAACAGAACAATAAAGCAGACATTGAGAAATTAACCCAACGAGAATAAATAACGTCAGTATGCTAATCGTGGGTCAATTTGTAGGCTTGGTTGTGTTCTGTAAACCCAGCTCCACCTCTCCCACATAAAGGTTTTTATCCTGCAAATATTACCCCTTGCCTTGCTGCTATCTCAGGAAATGCTTCATGCGTAGAATTCTGGTCCCAGTGTTGCTAACTGAATTCACACAGCTCACTAAAACCCCTTCTTTATTATGGTGCCGTTTTATTAAGGCCTTCGACACGCTAAGTCCAAATCAGACCAGGGTTTGGCTTAGCACAGTTGACGAGCTCCGAGTCCCAACGAGGGCCCCTCACAGTTGTCCTTATTGCTGAGTTTTGCCCCAAATAATCCCCCTCCCCCTGGTGCCCTCAGGGTTGAAGTCTCACAGTCGCGCCTCACGGGTTTTCAGCAGCTTTAAACCACAGTTAATGTTTTATTTAGGCACGGTGATATTTCAGGAATGGGAAATGGAACCAGAAGTCGTTCTTACGCTGCTGAATTCTGCACAGCAAAGATGAGGATAACAGAACCACAGAGTTGGAAGGGACCTTAGAGGTCTTCTAGTCCCACTCCGTGCTCAGGCAGGAGACCCTATACTTTTGCAGACAAATGATTGTCCAAAGAATCAAAGAAATGGAGGTAGTTGTGGAGGGAATGAGAGACTAAAACATATTTATTTATTTTTTTATTTTATTTCGAATTTATATACCGCACCTTCTCCCGAGGGACTCAGGGCGGTGTACAGCCAGATAAAAACATACAATACAAACATTAAAAACAATTAGAAATATATATATTAATTTGGCCCCAATTGAAAATAACAAACCAATTAAAAATATTTAAAAAATATATGAAGAACAGTTGCAGGAATTGGGTATGGGGGACATGATAGCAGTATTCCAGTATTCACCAGAAAACAAGAAGCAACGGATGGAAACTAATCCAGGAGAGAAGCAACCTGGAACTAAGGAGAAATTTACTGACAGTGAGGACAACTAACCAGTGGAACAGCTTGCCACCAGAAGTTGTGGGTGCTCCATCGCTGTAGGTTTTAAAGAAGAGACTGGACAGCCATTTGTCTGAAATGGTGTAGGGTCTCCTGCTTGAGCAGGGGGTTGGACTAGAAGACCTCTGAGGTCCCTTCCAGCTCCATTCTGATTGAAAAGTCTCAAATGTTCACTGTTCTCTCCGTTTGACTATGCCCATCCTGGCCAAAGTACCTTTTAGGCATCCATTACCCAAGTCCCTTCTACACAAACCTCTGGATGCCTGAATGAAATTACGGAGCCAGGCCTGGGATGCACAGGTCACCCCACGCAAAGTTCCTCACGCCTGTCTTTTGTCTTCCAGGTGCAGAGTGTTGACATAGCTGCTTTCAACAAGATCTAACGGCAAACCTTTTACCCTTTCTAAAGCTAATAAATGGTTAAGAGTTGGAGAGCAATGCCGGGCCCTTTTCTCTTTCCCTGCGGGTTAAGAAATCTGAAATTGTGACACTTCGGCTATCTGATGAAGCCACATCAACGGCGCCTGGGATGTCAACGCTCAACTTCCAGAGGTCGCTCATTTCAGAAGCAATGTTTAAATCGGTCCAACTGTATCATTGAGCAGTAGGGGAGAAAACTCACTTCTGGGAAATCTAACTTAGCTTTAACTGGGGTGTTTTTGTGAGATTGCATCCCTGCAGATTTTGTGACTGCCATGTCAGATCCCACCATGATGTATTGGTTGGGTTGGAAAGTTTTTTTTAAAAATGGACATTCTCCAGGAGACTGCTCCAGATCGCATAGGGCAGAGTTGTTTGACCTTGGCCACTTTAAGAAGACCTGGCTGGGGAATTCTGGGAGTTGAAGTCCACAGGTCTTAAAAGTGGCCAAGGTTAGATACTCCTGATACAGAGAGATCCACTCAAAACACCAGATGTTGCTCAGGAGATCCCAGTGGCCGGCAGTTCTATGTTGGCTGTGATCTTTCCATCAGTGTTACAAGAGAACACGGCTTCAACATGGAATCCCATCTTTCTTTGAAGTGGGAGAAGGATAATTTAACATTTTTTAGGCTTAACAAAGAACGTTTTAATTCCCTCAGTTGAATGCTTGCACCTTCAGGCACAAAGCTCAGCTGTCATCGAATCAGGGTTGAAAGTGTCTGTGGAAATCTGAGGTACATAAAGCAGGGGTCCCCAACCTCTGGAATGCAACCCATTACCAGGCTGCAGCCTGATCGGAACCAGGCCGCACAAGTGGCGGAGCAGCCTCCATTCGCATGCAAAGTTCCACTCGCACGAGTGGCGGGCTGTCGTGCATATGTGTGAAGCGCTACTCGTGTGAGCGGCAGGCACCTGTGTGTGCCTGAATGTGGAGTCGCATGCCTGCCACTCACACGGAGCAATCCCCTCTCCCATGAATTATTAGTAATAATATAATTTTTTTAACTGCTTCCATCCTGCAACGATATCTGTAACACTGTCCAACATTCAGATTTGCCTATCCCAGGTCCTTGGTAAGGACTCGATAGGTAGACAAAAATGGCAAACTCAGCCTGAACATCTGGCTGACTGCAATGATTAATACCCTGTTTCCCCGAAAACAAGACCCTGTCTTACATTTTTTTGAACCCTGAAATAAGCGCTTGGCCTTATTGCCATGTGGTCAAAAGCCCCACTGGGCTTTTTTTTTTTTGATTTGATTTATATGCCGCCCTTCTCCGGAGACTCAGGGCGGCTTACAATGCGCTAAGCAATAGCCTTCATCCTTTTGTATATTTATACAAAGTCAGCTTATTGCCCCCACAAACTGGGTCCTCTATTTATTTATTTATTTATTTATTTATTTATTTATTTATTTATTTATTTATTTATTTATTTATTATATTTCTATACTGCCTTTCTCCCGTAGGACTCAAGGCGGTGTACAGTCAAGAAAAATATAGACACACAAACATCATAAAATTGCTACTTAAAATTATTACTTACCTACCTTAGAAAGGATGGAAGGCTGAGTCAACCTTGAGCCTGGTGAGATTCGAACCTGCAGTAATTGCAGGCAGCTGGTGTTAATAACAGGGTGCTTTAGACCACTGTACTACCAAGGCTCTTATTATCAGGGGATGTCTTATTTTGGGGATAATAATAATAATATAATAATAATAATAATATAATAATAATAATAATACCTGGTGATGCATGGATTGAAGATAAGCAGCAAGAAAAAATCACAAAGTACCGGGACTTACAAATTGAAGTTGAGCGACTGTGGAAAAAGAAATCGTGTGTTGTCCCGATTGTAATTGGAGCCCTTGGAGCAATACCCAAAGGGCTACCCCGCTATTTAGAAATTCTAAATTTGCCGGACTTGAACATTTTGACTCTACAAAAAACCACCTTACTCGGAACAGCTTACATCCTCCGACGATACCTTAACAGTTCCTAGGTCCTTGGTTAGGACTCGAGCTGCTGAGCTATTAATCAGCCTCAAAGGCTGTGAATCTCACTAAAGATTAACCAATAATAATAATAATATCTCCTGGCCATTGAAACTACGTGATTATGGATGAAACATGACAGTGATACCCACTGTCATCGGGGCACTTGGCACCAGGTCCAAGAATTTTACAAAATACATCAAAAAATCAGCTTCCTGCAAAAACAGTAGCAGAACTGCAAAAAAACTGCACTTCTCGGGATCATCATACATCTTAAGAAGGTACTTGGTTGATACCTAGGACGCTGGCAGCAACCCATATCAACCATCAGCGCCAGTCAATATTTGCGATGCATTTTTAAATGTTCAGTTGACCGAGTTTCATGTTTAATAAACACAAGAGAATAATAACTATTCGGACCAATCACAAGAATAATGAGAACAATTGGACTGAATAGGTAATCAAAAAACTAAAAAGCCAGGATTATATGCCTAATTGGTTTTACCACAGTTTGAGTAAAATCACATTGGGCTGATTTATTATTTCCATTTATCCTATTTATGCACTATGATTTCTATGGCCTATCTTACCATCCGTCTTATCAGACTTACCATAAATCAATGCCTATTTTAGAAACTGCTGCCCGTCTCCCTCACAAAGGGACTCTGGGCGATGTACAAATAAAACGTTTTTAAAAAACCAATACAAAAGTGTAAACTAGAGGTTGAGGATAGTTAAAATTCAACATGAAATGTTAATGAGAAGCCTGGCATTCAGAGCGCCATGCTGCCTACTCCGCTGAGATGCCAGGGCCAGGGTTTGCAGGCTGCCCAATTCCACAGCCACTCACACACAAGCTTGCAAATAAAAATCGAAAGTACAGTATAATAAAAAAGAAATCAAGAACCCCCAAAGGCAGCCAATGAGCAACGGAAAGGGCTTGATCCCCATCCTGGACCAGCAAAAGGGGATGTAAGTCTCCAAGGGGTGGGCCCCCTCCCTAGAACCTGTGATTGCTGCCCCCCCCCCTTTGAGCAAAGTCAAAAGGGGAAGCCAGATTCGCTTAGCAACCGTGTGACTAATTCCACACCTGCCCTGGTTCACTTAAATGTGGCAAGAAAAGTCGCAAAACAGGACAAAACTCCCACAAACGCATTTCTCATTGGGCAACAGAAACGTCGGGGTAAGTCGACTACCTGTGCTGGGGTCTCTCAAGAAGGCCGGGTTCTGTGAGGAAGGGGAGGGCGCGAAGCACCTGCAGCAAACCCCGGATACCCCCACCTGCACCCCCTCACACGTCAGTCAGCGCAGCTATTGAATTCCCAGCAGGGGAACCCCCTCACTGCATGGTGGAGCAGCCCCAGCCCTGGGTGGCTCCGAGAAGAGCCCGGTGCCATTGCAATGCCCTCCTCCCAGGACAAGGCGGGACTGTCCCCACTCCAGGGCTCCTTCCCACTCAGGAGCTGTGGCCACGGCCTCCGGGGAAACCATCCACCAGCTTACAAAGGGAGAATAAAGTTTAATCAAATCTTCATTCTTCCTCTTCTCTTTTCTCTTCTTCATTTCTCTTCAATTCCGCTCCACTCCTATTCCATTCCATTCCATTCCACTCCATATTCTATTCCGTATTTTATTATTCTATTCTATTCTATTCCACTCCACTCCACTCCACTCATATTCCATTCCATTCCATTCCACTCCATATTCTATTCTATTCTATTCTATTCTATTCTGTACTTTATTATTCTATTCTATTCTATTCTATTCTATTCTATTCTATTCTATTCTATTCTATTCTATTCTATTCTATTCTATTCTATTCTATTCTATTCCATTCCATTCCATTCCATTCCATTCCATTCCACTCCATATTCTATTCTATTCTATTCTATTCTATTCTGTACTTTATTATTCTATTCTATTCTATTCTATTCTATTCTATTCCATTCCATTCCATTCCATTCCATTCCACTCCATATTCTATTCTATTCTATTCTATTCTATTCTGTACTTTATTATTCTATTCTATTCTATTCTATACTTTATTATTCTATTCTATTCTATTTTATTCTATTCTATTCTATTCATTCCATTCCACTCCACTCCATATTCCACTCCATTCCATATTCCATTCCATATTCTATTGTTCTATTCTATTCTATTCTATTTACTCTATTCTTCATTCAATTCTACATTCTTCTATTATTCTTCTATTCTCTCTTTTCCATTCCTCTCTTCTTCTTTATTATTCTATTCTACCCTATCCTCTTCTCCATTCCTCTCTTCTCCATCCCTCTCTTCTTTATTATTATTCTGGTTTTTTCTCCCCTATTCTCTAATCTATTCTTTTTTCCTACTCTATGCTCTTATTCCAGAGGTCTTCAAACTCGGCCCGCTTGAAGACTGGTGGACTTCAACTCCCAGAATTCTCCAGCCAGCTACGCTGGCTGGAGAATTCTGGGAGTTGAAGTCCACCAGTCTTCAAGCGGGCCAAGTTTGAAGACCTCTGCTCTATTCTCTCTTCTCTTTTGTATTCTCTTCTAATCTTTATTCCATTCCAATAGCCACTGTTTGTCTTTCCTTTTCCCTTCCAGGGGTGGCCCGCGGGCGCCCGGCTGCCGCTGGAAGCTCCCTTTCCGCTCCAGCGCTACAATGTTTCAGCGCCAGGTGGGGGGAGGGGGAGGAGGAGGAGGGGGCGTGGCTTCCTCTCCGGGGTGGGCGGGGCTGCTCCCCCCCCCCCCCCCCCCCCCCCTGGGTCCCCGCGTGCCCCGGCCGGGCGCATTGAGCGCAGAGCGGGGGCCATGGAGGCCGGCGGGGGTTCGCTGGCGCTGCTGACCGACCTCTACCAGTTCACCATGGCCTACGGCTACTGGAGGGCCGGCAGACACCGCCAGCCGGCCGCCTTCGAGCTCTTCTTCCGCCGCTGCCCCTTCCAGGGAGCCTTCGCCCTGGGCGCCGGCCTGGCCGACTGCCTGGCCTTCCTCCAAGCCTTCCGCTTCAGCCGGGCAGGTGAGGACCAAG